CGACTTTCTAGTGTTATGTTTGATCCGACATTTTCCCCTGAAAACGTTTAACCTGGTGAGTTTTGATACGAAATGCAAATTTTAGAGTTTTAATGTTAGACAAGCTCTTACAGACACTTCAGTAAAAGTTTCTCCACTTCTACTTGTTCATACAGATTCTGCAATGAAGACGACATTTATTTGGTGTTTTATTTTTGTCGCCTCTATTATAGATACGACTGTAGTCTCAATACGTATCTACGTTGGTAAGTGGTAATTATAAAACAAGACCTTCATACATATCTGAGTATTTGTGAAAGCAAAATTCTTTGGATGGTTTTAAAACTTTCCATCTTTACTGTTACTAAATTAGTTTTACAGCCAGTAAGTAGTTGGAAACCAGGAGTAACAGTCATAATAATTATTTGGTTAGTCCCCCTCACATCATTCAAAGGAAGGAGAAGTTGTTGGACCGCAACATCTGTCAAAAAGAGTAGGTGGCTACCGGTGGAATCTTTTAATATCTGGCTCTTGGCAACTGATCACACCCATAACTTGTTATTACTATGAAATTACTATATAACTAAAACTCAGACTCGATAAGGGTTTGTCAACCATACGATGGTGAGTTATGTTGCTGTATCGAGGGTCGTCGGTTACATGTTAATTTCGCGAATAATTTGATTTTTCGGTGTCGTTGTTCAGGGTTGACAACTGTAGGATCAAACCAAAATCAGGAAACTAAGATTAGCTAGGTTCCATGATGATACGTCGTGTTCTAACCATACTTGTACACGATTACTTTCAGAAAAACCGCCAGCTGAGAGGAAAACATCGGGGATTTCCTTCCATTGGAAAAGAATGGTGGAAACACCATCATTTTTCGTCGGAAATAAGGCTCCGACAGGCCTTCCTGATACTCCTAGGGGAACAAAAATTGAGCAGAAGTTACCCGGCGAGGATCCACTAACTCCCCCTTATTTTGTCTCCTTCTTTGATCCACAAATAAACACTCCCTTTTATTCGGCCTACAAGGTTACTCCCGATCAGGCGAAAAAAATTGGCACGTTCTCGAGGAAAAATGTAAACACAAAAAG